TGTTCTCCAAAGGTCCCCTCTGACCCACCAGGCTGCGTCGCCACTGGACTAGTCACCTAGTTAGCGTGACCAGCTTTTTAGCAGCCCACTACACATCCTGCCTCTCACAATTCAGATTATTTATTTAAAGTTGCCTTAGGATTCAATTCTGAGATTTTGTTCCCAATTGGTCCCTGGCCAGGATGACTTATACAATTTTCTGTCAAATTAAATGGAGCTGGACAAAAAATACCCCACTGGAACTCCCATACAAGTTTGGGCATTTGCTTAGGACTGTTGCTCCGAGTTCCTTGAGGACAGGGGGGACCTGGGGGCAGTTTCAGCTAGAAACACATTTGTTTGCTAATGATTTTTGACCATGATAAGTGTGATGAGTGAATACTTTTTTTCACTAATCCAACCCTTGCCAATTTAAGCCCCCTTCAAAAAGAATCTGAAAAGATGGTTTTCTGATCTTCTCACGAACAATGTCTTGCACAATTACCCGCAGACAGCCTTAACAATCTTAACCAGTCTCATAGAATGAGTCATGTAAGGCCAAATGTAGCCTATTTTACATTTAAAGCCACTCTGAAAATATAAGGTGCTCATTAGCTGACCTAAAACTAGGCCTCTTTAGTTGTTGATGAGGCACAGGAATAGATTTTGAGACATTCTGACCACATAATGGACTTTACCCTTCACCCAAGAGGCAAGGATGACACAAACCATTGCACAAACCAGCAGGCACCGCGTTAAAAGAAAATCCCTCCAGGGTAAGACAGAGCTATGACTGTAGCATGGCAAGACAGGAGAGAATTTCACATCTGATTAGATTTCAAGTGTCTTAGCTACACGGGAGAGGGTTTCTATTACAGTATTTAATTAATGAAGCAGAAAACAAGCTGAGCATGCAGTGGGTCCCTGACATACAGGAGGGGCTTGCCCCTGGACTGGGCGTGCCCACGTTGGCGCTACAGCAGAACACACACCACACTCTGTGCATAGAGCACATGATGGGATCAGTGATGTCAGAGCCCTGCGTCACCAGTGACAAACATTCTTAATTTTAGCTAAAAGCCAATAAAGTTTTAACTTCACTTTCTCTTTCCTCCCATTTTAACCATTAAGTTTTGGTTTCCTTTTTGAGACCACTTTTGGCTAGGGAACAAAGTATTTTATCACTTCATAAAAATGATTGCATAAATGACACCAGCAAAGGGCAACAAAGCTCTCCTGGGGTGGAACTACTGGCCGCCAGGGAGGCTCACTTCTTAGTCTTGTAGTTCGTGTAAGGGACTCACATTCCTGTCTCAGCAAAGTGTCAAGTCACTACAAGTCATGGACATTCAAGCTTGCTTTAGAATAGTGGAAACCAGGAACGCTAGGTCACTGAATTCCAAGTGTCTATTGTATACAGTATGATTTCATCTGTGTTAAGAGACATAGACAAGATTAAAAAGTATAGCAAAGCATTAGCAGTAGTTATCTGTGAGCACTGGAGATTATTAGTGTGTTTCGTTGTTTCCATAATGGCTTTCTAACTTATCAACATTTCTAATTTAACATTAAGAATCAAAAGAAAGCCATAAATACATAAAAATTATTTTGAAAAGAATCAACTAGATGCCAATGATCCTTCAGCCCCAAGAACCACTTCAGGGGTGGGGAATGTCCAGCCTGTGGGCCGTAGACAGCCTGCAAAATCATTTGGGCCGGCCCTGCCAAGGCCTCACCAAAGAGAAGCAGTTCCAGCCATCACATTAGGGGGAGAGTTAATTAAATGTTTGATCAAATACAGCAGGCTAAGTTTTAAGTTGATAATTTTGTATGGCCCGCAAATGACGTTATAAATATATAAATGGCCCTTGGCAAAAAAAAGGTTCCCCACCCCTGCTGACTAGATGACCCAATCCACAACCATGGAAGCCCGTGGATGTTATTGGTGAGTGAAATGACTAAGTGATGTAGTTCATTAGTTCAAATATGTAACATTTGCTTATTTTAAAGCAAATTAATGATAACAATAAGGCTATTTGGAAAACAGAAAAATTGGATATCAAGGATTATAGTTAATGGTTGTCACAGCCAGTTTGTTTCGGCTTAGACATGGAGTAATGAAAAATTCTCATTATCACAGAGAAGTAGTTGCTAATGGTAAAAATTTTTATAGCTCACCTTGTAAATCTTGCAAAACTTAATTTTTCAATTAAACTGACATAATTGAAGAAATGAATGATGAGGGCTGAAGTATTTACTTTGGTAGTATAACATTTTTTACAATTGTTACAACAATTTTTATAACTTAGTTCAAATAAGTTAAAATTAGTTTGACATGTTTGAATATGGTTTGCGAGTTATTGTTTAGATAGTTCAAAATATAGAATATGAAATTTAACAAAGCAACTTTGTCGAATAACAAGTTCTGCAGGCAGTTTGAAAATCACTGATTTAATGCAACAAATAATCTTCTTACCCCCATTTTGTGAGGGAGAAAACTGAGGTCCAGAGGGTAAAGTAATAAACCTAGGATTACAAACTTAATTATTCAGTGCCCTTTTTACTGTCCAAGGTCTTTCCAATATTGACAGTGCATAAATGTGGCTCTCTGAATGGAATTTGTTCTCAAATAATATACAATAGGCCAAAAATTCTAGTCTAATACAGGTAAAGTGAACAAATATCTTATTGGCTAGATAAAATAAACTTATTTTGAAATTCAACAATATGTGGCTTTATCTGCACTAAGATTGTCTGTTTTCCGTTTTGGAGGCTTCTAATTTTGGACACAAAGGCATTGGTTTAATATCACTATGTCACTCTTGATTTTACGATTATACCGTTAAGTTTGCAGTTAGAAAACATTTCCTTGAGGGCCTGATTCTCTATGTCTGATGAGAGGGCAGACCTATGCTATAGTCTATTTATCTTTTCTCAGACCATCATTTCTTATTTTCTCTTTGAATTCAGAAAGGTTGCTTTGATCCCAGGCATGCAAATGAGTTCAATGAGTTTCCAGCAATCCTGAAGGGTCTCAGCCTTTGCGAGTAGCATATCTACATTTCCTAAAGCAGGTTCCTCTTAAACCTCTCCTACTGCTAAGTATTAATTTTGACAGCTTTGTTTAATTACTTCTGAAATAAAATAGCAGCTTCCTGACATGTGCCTCTAACTTACTTTTTATTTCTCCTTTCCTTTGTTAGATAGCCACCTGTCCCAACATTTATCCATGTGCTGTATGAAATGTTTTAAAATAACACAGGATGCAGAAAAAGCAGGCGTTTCACAGGCAAACTTCTCTCGATGTAGAATGGCCTTTTGCTTTTGGATAACAAGAAATAGGCCACAAATATGATTCCAACAGAGAAGATAGGTACAAATCAGAAGCCAGAAAAAATTGCATATATTTTTTCTGATTATATATAAACATTTTCTTAAGATGGTTAATGTAATGTTTTTGTTTTATAACTGTTTTCCCAGTGGGGAAAAGCTTTATGCAGTTGTGGAATGAATCCCTCATTTCTCCTAGAAAGACACACACATGTTTTAATGGAAGCATGTAAAAGATTTTCAAAGTCTCTCTGTGGCTGAATTGGGTTAATTATGCTTTTCACATACCGGTCTTTCTGGTATAGATATGAATAAAGATGTATAATCAGTAGAATAACTTTAAAATAGGCTTGAGTTATATTAGGTATAATTATCTTGGCTAATAATATTTCATACCTTAATATTTCCAAAATAAAGACGTCCAAGCAAAATTCTGACACTTCATTCAAATTTTATACCTTATACAATTTTTAATACATAACCTTCTGGTGTAATACAAAGCTAAATTAAGCTTTACTGGATTATATAATTATGAAATATCTATGATTTCTGTTTCTTGCATGAAAACTTGTCATTCTGAGTTTACTTTTATGAGCTAGGTATACGAAATAGGCAATTTCACATCACATGTGGAATTTAGAATTCATGACTAAGGCAGAAAAAGTACAAGTAAACTTTAAAAAGTTAACAGCAGACAGCAAAAACTAAAATTGCACTGCCTACAATTCAAAGATAGAATGATTTTCCCCAACATTGCTCATGTAGTATTTTAAGTATGCAGTTTTGTTTTACGCACATATATTTGGTAAACTATTCTCTTAAAAAATAACAATGAGGTGTTTCTTAGAAATCGAAGGAGCTTGGGAAAGAAGTTCCTGCCTTTTGGTCTTCATGATTAGTTTTGTAAGAGAGTTTTCTTATATCTTCTCTCATATATTGGGGATGAGTAAGCTAATAAAGAGATTTAACAAGAAGTGTTGCAACTATAAAGGCAAATATTACAGCTATGATAAGATTCTTGAACTGCACTTCTATGACTCCTCCACCTGTGATATTTTATCTGTCAGTCTGATTCTTGATCCTGCAAATAACTGAGGGCCAATTATGGTTTCCAAAAAGCAAACAATGATATGTGAAAGCATCAAGTATCTCTCTAAAGCTCCTAATTAAAAATACCCTAAAAAATTTTACTATTGGAAATAAGTCCTGCTTTCTCTTTAGCAAGGGCTGAGTTTGTTCAAATATAAAACTGTTCTAACACTGATTTAGATTCCAGTTAATCAGTATGGAAAAATGGGTCAGCTGTGACCTCGAATGGGTCTGCTGTGATCATGTCATGGATTAGGTGACAGACTGAAATGGAAAGAATCCTGAGAACATTGTGCCATCACATTTATTAGGTCCATTGGCCTGGACATTGTTAGGGAGAGAAACTAGTAACCGAATGAAAAAAGTCAGAAGAGAAAGCCTTTGAGAGTACTCCACTTGTAGCTTTATGGATGGAGAATCTAGACCCTGGGATGGCATCAGGTAGCCACAAGAACAAGGGGCATGGGTACTAATAGCACATGGTTAGGAATGGATACTGGACGGCAACATTTATTTGCTTTTAATTAAAACATTTTAACTTAAGAAGCTTATTTGAAACTTTATTTCTGTTTACAGGAGATGAACTGGTAAATTTGACTGACCTGGCTGGACAAGGGTCCAAGTTGCACTCCTGAAGTTTGGGCTTGGGTTTGATGTTCTCTGGGTAATAGTGACAGTATTGATCAGCAACCACGCGGCTGCTCCGAAGATCGTAACACTCAGCCGATGTCAGCTGGTAACCTGCAGCAGCAAACCATACATGCGAGTTTTAAGGCACATGTCAATATAATGTATTTCTTTATGCTCTTTGGTCATCTCACATTAAGGAAATTCTTCCCCAATGCACCAGTCATGTCTAGGACTAAAGACAGATAAGTGGAAGGCTCATTAACTTTTGCAGGCCTCAAATACTGTGATTTTCCATTCAAATTTTAATAGTTAAATCATACCACAGGGCTTGAACTATATAAGGGCATAACTAGTTTCATAAGGCTCTCTCATAAGAACTATTCTTATTAATCTGTTTTGCATAATCTAAAAGTCTAATACAGATTCCGTATCCCAAAGAGATCATCAGTATTTATTTACCAACCATCCCACATAAGGATGCAAAATTGGCTCCGTTGTATCTGGGGCACCAGATGGAAAAACTCCCAAATAAATAAATAAATAAATAAATAAATAAATAAATAAACCCCAATACCACTCCCCTTGTCAATGGGGGACAATGGAATATAGCACAGGATCAGCTGCCTGACACTATTTTTGCCTAATTTCAGCCTGGATGGGTTGACCTGAATAAATGGATGATTAAAGCCTTAATAGTAGCCATCATGAATCCCACGGTTTCCTGCAGAGAGAAAAAACACGCAAAACAACAAACCTCCTACTGTGTAATTTTTATTTCTCCCTAAATCCTTTGTCATTTCTCTTTAAGTTTCTAACCAATCTTTCTTAGGTTCCACATATAAATTTCCACTTTTAGAGAATCCTCTTGAAAATAAAATAGTGTTGCAGAGTACTACTTAATTCTATTTATAATGTGTTTTACCTTTTTTTACCTGCCTCTTTCTTGCTCTGAATTTCTGGTGGGTGCTAATGTGCACGTAGATTCTTGGGGTGAAAAATAAATGTATATAGAGAATTCTTTTTAATTAAACTTTATGCATCATTCTAACCCTAACTAACTCCAAAATATATTCTCTCTGGCAGGTGGTTGAATATTATTGTTGCTAAATATGTGTTAGAAAGGCAGATTTAGGGTACTTAAAAGTCCTGCAAAAAATTTTAGGAAATCAGATGGAGGTTTATAAACCAGATTTCCTGGCTTGAGGCTGTTTTCTCAGACCACCCACAAAAATGAATTGTTCGTTAAAGACCTAAAAAAAGACCTTTTAACAACTTTGCTGTAAAGATGAAAAGAACGAAAAGTTAATGGTTAAGAACACATGTTTCATTTAATTTTTTGTTTTATAAGAAAATCAAAGAGAAAAATGATATTTTATAGAAGTAAATATATTTTTAGTTTTCAATTACATTATACTCAAAAGCCAATAAGTTTATGACAAGCTAATCATTTTATAATTTTCCAAAAAATAATTTCTACTCTAGTACAGAATTTATCATATAGTAAAATGTAGGCACAAGGACTAAGTAAATTATAAACCTGAGATTATGATTCTTAAAAATCATAATTTTTCAGCATAAAATGTTGCTGTGAAGCTATTCTAGGGTATATGAAATGAAAATTTAGAACAAAAGTTAAATAAATGACCAGAACAGTCAGATAATTGTGTTTTCGAAAATTTCTCAAGGTATTTGGAATAGTAATCCCTTACACTTAGCAAAGTAGTCAACCAGTTGAATCTGGAAGCAGAAACATAAAAGGGAATTTAGAGATCATTTCTAAGTAATTTTAAAACTGTGGTCTATGAAGGCTGGTTTCCATACCCCTATCTTCACTCTGAGCAGTATGTATTCCTTTTATCTGGGTTTCCAAGTAAGATTTTCTTTTTGAAGAAAGGGTATGATAGCTCAAAAAATTTGAAAACCATTGGTGGCTCCACTTCTTCACTTAGATGTAAAGAAAATAGGCCAAAAGGGCTGGGATATATATGAATCGAACATTAATTGCCTCATTATATAGCGAACCATTGTCAAGGTCACTGAAACTACACCCCACCAGCAGCTGTATGTGAAACTGGCAAAGTGGGCATATTATTGAATTGCTGCTTCTCTCAAAACATGGTTTTCATTTAAAAAGAAAAAAATTATTTCCTTCTTTGAAACCATTTCCTATGTTAGTCATTAATAGTGAATCAAAACGATATATTCCCATGAAACATCAACACAATTAGCAGCTATTTTTTAAACCAAGTAATTTTCTATTCAGGGCATACAGAGAAACTGGAAACACTCTTTTATTGAAATGCTTAAGATGTTGAGAGAATAGTTATTTACTAATCAAGCTAAAAGCACTTGAGTATTTTTTATTAATTGCTTTCAAGCTAAAAATCTAACATTGCTCTACAGAACTTCAGGCTCAGTCGTTTGTTCACATTATGTAGACGTAGATAACACAGCCAAAGATGAATTATGTATGTTCTTAACTTTTTTACAAAAATTAATGGTAGTCATTTGTCTTCATTGTGAGGTACCATCCTTCTTTTCTCTTGTCAAAATAATCTAGTGATACCCATGTGGATTAGTTACTTAAAACCAGCCAATTAATAGGCTTCCATGAAGCTGGGGCCAGAATGTATTCGATGTGCTCATTTTTAAAGGAATATACCTACAATTCTATATCCATTAAATTACCAAAGCTTAAGAAGTGATAACCCACAGATACTGGCTCAGTTGGAAATGAAACTAAAATATTCTGGAAAGAATTTTGGTAATATATGCCAATGGCCAAAAAAATTCTGAAACTGACTATTGAGAATTTATTTCAAGGAAATAATTTCAAAAGAGAAAAATACTCAGGTATCAAGTTATTCATTACATTATAATAGAGAATTTTAAATGAACTAAATGCTCTTCTATAGGGATATGGCTAAATAAATGATGAAATAATTCAAAGAAATTATTATGTAACCTTTATAATTATGAAGAGCAGAAAATGGGAGGGATAAACATTTTCCAGTAGCACAAAATGCTGCCCATATTACAGATGTGATGGAGCAGAGGCAGAAATTCATTTGGTGACTTTTCAAAAGAGATGTGTTTTTATGAATAAATAAGGCAAGTGGCATTCCTTCTATTGCAGTGATGATTGGGTGGAGCAGAAAAATAACTGAGCCAATGTCTGAAGTACATGTGATTTTTTTTCTTGGTAATAAACTACTTTCTTTAATTAAATTAATCTTTGATTCTTTTTGAACACATCATGCTATATAGTAAGCCACACAATTACTTTTCACTTGGTTCCTGAATAAAAAATTTCACTTCAATCACATGAGTAGTTTATTCTCAAATGAACAGAATTACCTCTAAACCATGGAGCTGCCAAGCTCTGACATTTCTTGCCCGGGCCTTCCATGGGGTCAAGGAAGGGAGTCAAGACTATTTCCTCCAGTGGGACTCCACAGACAGAAACTATTTATAGAGCATCTAGACTGAGGTATGTGCCTTACAGGAGTGCTTCAGGACTTGGCCCCATTCAGAAGAAAAGATCTGGTCCCACAGCACTAAATTCCTTCTATGCTGACATGATTCTACTCTTGTAACAGTCAAGTCTTCCCTCCTAGACACCAGCGGTTCCCAGGCTAAGTGAACTGAACAACATCGTTACCTCCTCCACAGGTTGCTGAGCAAGGAAAGAAATCCGTCTCCCTCCATCGGTGGATGATCGGCTGATAGAAGGTGAACTGGACTGTGCTGTTAGCAGGCCCCGAATTGCGGATCTGTAGGAGACAGCAGCAAAGCAGAGGAACTAGTGGGACAGGCAAGTGCTTTCCGGGCCCCTTGCAACTTTGAACAAGAAAGTGTGGTGGTGCTGCTGGTCTTGGGCTGTGCGAAGGATGCTTTGGAGAGAGGTGGCACTAGCCGTATCGCCCACCTTGCCATTTAACCAGCGAATGCTCCTCGCATACACTGTCGCTCTCATCACCTTCCCAGTGCTGTTGTGATTCCAGCAGGCATCCGAAGCCACTCAGTCCCTCGCCCTCTTTAATTTCCAACCTCTCTGGTATCACAGGTAAAATTATGTGGATATTTAAATGAAACATCAGAAACAGACAATTTGTTCTAAGAAAAATTTAAATGTCATATGCTGCAAAAAACAAGATACGGTCTTTGGTTAAAAAAAAAAAAGAGTTAAAGAACTAAGTAGCTCTTCCTACTCAGAGACATACCTGGGGTTTCCTGACAACTTGGTGATTTATATATTTTAATGTGCAAGGTTACCAACTGGAAGCTTGCTAAAATGCAAATTCCTGGGCTCGAGCCCAGGGATCCAGGCGATTCGAATGTAAATAGTCCAGTAACCAAACTTTGAAAAACACAATGTACAGCATGAAAGCAAATGTATCAAGCTATGGAAATGACAACTCCTTTGTTTTTTAAAAGAGAAGATGTAAAGCAATAATTCTTGAATGGTTCTTAAAAGTACACGGTTGAGAGAACATACTCAAACTGAAAGAAGAAAAACGTACCAATAGGAACGGTGCCTTGATTTCATGAAGACAGAATGACATGTGATCCAACACTTAGACAGCTGGGCAAGGGCAAAGCTTGGACTTTATTACGCTAAAGGAAGTGCCATGGACAACTGAGAGGACCACCTCTTACTCCACCTCGGTTACAGGAATGAGAAGTGTCATCAGCTGAATCACGTGGCCAAAGTCTTTGTTAATATTTTCAAGCCTTACCACTGTCCCAACCGCCTTGTGTCTCAGATACGTGCATAGGTTCAGCCTTCAGATTTTAAAAAAGATGGTCTTAGTTTTCTGCTACTGAATTTAACAGCTGCATCATACACCTAAGATGCACAGGATAACAGGAACACCGAAGAAACAGGGAATGGGTCCTGACCCCTAGACTGGGGTTTGGAGTTTTGATGAGAATATGGAAATAGTCCTCAGAAAATCTGGAAGATTTGGGAGGGAGGAAGAAGAAAGAGAGAAAAGCTATAAAGTATCTCATGTTATGCTGGGATTCTAACCCATGGTGCATCCAGGTCTTTCCAAATTAGAACAAATGGTGATACAGTTCCCTACTTTAAAGCAAAAACAGCTGAAGTAATACAATGTCTTTCACAAAAGGGGAGCATGGCCTACAGATTAATATTTTCAGTCTACTGTGTCAAATACAGGATATCTAATTGCTTGCTTAGGGATGTAGTATTAATCACATTCTTTGGAAAAGCTTTTTTTAAAGCTCACAAAAGCCTATAGCTCTCTTGGGATTTGTGGTTCTCATGCTGGAAAGCCATTAGAAGAAGGCTCTCATTTGAACACGAGCTCCATGAAAAGTCAAAGGGCCAGAAAATCAAATCTGTTTAGATCCTGAGAGATGAATTGTTCTGCAGGGGTCCCTTTTGGGATGGTAGAAATTAAACTAAGTCCTAGGAAAGTGGTGGGGAAGGGAATCAAAATTAGCAGGATATAACATCAGAGAACTTGGAGGAACCTTGTTCTAGAATATCTATACTTCTCTGGGCTTATCTTTTGGTCTGGTTAAAGAAGCAAAGAGACGTAGCAGGTCTTTTTTCAGCTCCTGGAAGTTACCAATAAAAGTATCTCAAGCTCTAAGAGGAAGGAATGAATCACCAGAAGATCTGGTGTCTAAAGAGAGGGTTACTAAACACCATGTTGAAGGGGAAAAAAGCAGCTTAGAAAGTATATCGTTCTTAATGAATTCAATGCAAGTGGTATATAATGACAATAAACGCTGAGACTGTATGTCCAGACTTGAAAAAAGACTGATAACTGAATTGATCAACTAGGATGCAGAGGACAACAGGAACATTGAAGAAATGGGATAGTTCCTCAGCCCTAGATTAGTATTCTGGTCACACTGATAACATTCCTGCTTCTCCCTTCTCTGCCACTGAGTACCTAAAACTCCCACAGCAATCAGCACTAAATACATTCCTACCCTGTGCCAGATACATTTTATTTATATTAAATCGAATCTTAAAACTACTCCTGAATTATCTTCCACATTTGCATTACAATGAAAGAAGTGAGGCTCAGAGAGGTTGAGTGTCTTGGTCAAGGCTACACAGCTAGGGAAAAACAGAGCTGGGGTTTGAGCACAGGCCTGCCTGGCTCTAAAGCTGCCCTTCTTTCACGGCACCAAGCAATCTTTGTTAGCGTTGTGAAGATACAGGCATTTATCTTTAGCAGTATCTTTGTACCTCTCTTCTCAGTATCTTAATTTTTCATTTGAAAGTAGAAAAAAATGTTTCAAATAAAAAGAAGAGGCTAACCTGATGTCTAACTTTGCTCACCTAATTGCTGCTTACAGAGATGAGCTGCTGTGTTCCTTTTTTTTTTTTTTTGATTTTTATTAATTCTGGGCTGCTGGGATCCTTATCATTAGCTCTGAAGGGTCCAAATCCCCACATCCTTAAAGATCAGGTCTTAGTGTGCAAACTTCAGTTTGACACATTAGAATTGTGTTTAAGGGAGCTAAATACATCTGGCATATGTAATTTTGACCTCCTTAAGTTAATAAGCAAAAAGAATGTGAACTAAGCTTTTCTTCCTATAATTACAATGATTCAGTGTTTCTAATTCGATTTAATGACTTCTCACACTGAAAGTCAAGGAGACAAAACTGGACCCTTTCCATAGCAAATGACTGCACTGTCCTAACAGAGCTGCAGGGCCGTACAGATGTGCATGTGGGCAATGGCTGGGCTTTCAGTCCCTGTAAAATGAAAGGAATTAAGGAGAAATTTCGAACACAGGAGAGACATCAAGTACACAAGCTCTGGCCTGAGAAGGGGACAAGAGGGAGCTGTGGGCAGACCCCTTCCCCTAAGCCTCTGAGCTGGAACCCACAATGGTATTCAACTGGGGCACACGGGTCTCAGGGCAGCCGGGGTGTCGTGGCCAGGCTGTGCTTGAAAACCGTAGAAACAAAGCAACGTGCCTGCGAGGAGGGGAATAAAGTGGAAAACAGGCGAACCTGTTTTTTAAATGCCTCAGGCTACTAGATGCAATTTTAGGCTGTTTTGGGGGTTGACAGTGATAGTGAATCCTCAGGGAACTGTAAAAATATTGTAAAATTCTTTTTGGGGCTTTCAAAGTAGGCAACAAGAATAAGGTCTTCCTTATGTCACTTAAAAGTTTACAAGTACTGAATATTGATGTCATTGTTATTTCATTGCCCTTCTCCTCTACATTCTATAAACTCCACGGAGGCAACTGCCATTTACCCTGCTCAGCACTCTTTCCTCAGCATCATCTGCAATGTTTGGCACATAGTAAGTGTCCAAACACTTGCTGAAAAAATGAACACATGAATGAACAAACAAATGGATCATGATCCTTTCAAATACTATTTGTGACAAATTCTTAGAATAATTATCATCTTGATATATATAAATAATTGTCATCTATATAATAGATATATCTGTCTACCAGTTTTCTTAAAGATGTTATTTCTTGTTGATCAAATTGATAATATTGATAAAATGTTGCTAAAGTTCATGAACAGAAGCATGCTGTTATAACAGCTCTGATCCAATCATACTTCCCACCCTCCTTTGATGGTACAGTAGGAGAGTAGCGTGGAAAGGGCTTGTAAAAATGCTAATTATTATTGGAATGAAACATAAATTCAGTCATTCCACTGTTTGAAATAACTGACAATTTCAGCAGTTGGAAATACTGACTGAGGCTGGGGATTATTCAGTAAAAATGATACAAAATTATTACCATCCAACTTTACTTTTACACTTCTTATAGAGTTTTCTGGTCCTCCTAGAATTCCAGACCTCAGCATTGGGAGATACAGCGGTTCAGCCCAGGGGCTCCTGGCTTAGTGTGCATGGGAGATGTTGGTTATGGATTTACTGCCCACAGCCCTTGAGTAGGGCAGCAGACCAGAGATGCCTCTCTGGGAACAACGGGTATAACTGTCGGCTAAGGAACAAAGAGGGGGAAGAGATGGGCCGGGAAGGAGATGCTGAGAGGCTGAGCAGACCTGAGCCTACTGGAAGGATGACCGCAGTGTCAGATGGAGGGGGAAGAAAACAAATGACCAGAGTGGAGCCAGGTGGCTTGGGATTGGGCAAGGGTCTGCCACTCTCAACACTGGTTCTTGACTCTGAATCTTAAAACTAGCTGTGCAATTGGCAAAACAATGGGTTTAGAGGTGTAGAAGGAGTCACCCCAAGATGCTCCTCTGTGGTATGTGGATTATTTTGAACTAAAGTCAACTGAGACCCTGCAGGCTCAGGAGAATCTCCTGAGCCACCCCACTACTACCTAGAATAATTTAAATTAGGAGCTATATCCATAAGAAGAGATTATCAGAGATCACCTTTTGACCTATCTATAGGACAAGGCAAACTATTAGTTACAGAACATCTGCCTTTCTTTCATCCTATAATAGCCACCCTCCCCTCTAAAGCACCAGCACACCTCATCTCATCCTTAGTTCAGAATGCCAAGGATACCTCATTTTAACTTCCTGTCTCTGAACCGCTCATGTATGTGGGGCCTCTGGCTATCTCATGTATGTGAAGTTGGCATATGTACATATGTAATTAAATTAGATTATTTTCTCATATTAATCTAATCTGCCTCACGTAGATTTAACTATTAGACCAGCTGAAAAAACCTAGGAGAGTAGAGGAAAGTTTCTCCCCTCCTACCTCCACATGAGAAATCCATTAGAAATTCAGTGTATTGTAATGAGCTCAGTTCTAAACTCTTGGACTCTATCAGCATAAAGGAGCATATTTATTGGGGGAATTGCTACTTATAAATGTTGGTTAGGAAAAAGAATCACTATGTATTACATGCTTCTTTTATTTCCTACAGTTACTTAAATGTTTCCTCTCAAGAATGTTTGGCTTACGACAATGGTTTTCCCTTTGCACGACAATGGTTTTCCCTTTGCACGACAATGGTTTTCCCTTTGCACGAGCACAGGTTGACTGGTGTGGTGTGGCCATCTAGAAACAGGCTGGTGGCAGGGCAAAACCAACCTGGGCTTAAACACTGGCCAAAGCTCAGCCTCCAGTGGAGAAAAGAATTGATTATTTGAATTCTACCCAAGATTCACAGGCTTCCTTAATCACTGTAGCAAGTACCTATAGCTTTTATTCTGTCCATTTTATTTTAGTACTTCATTATATGCATTACTATTTCAACATTTGCTATTCAGAATATTTCTCAAATGACATTATAATCTAGGAAAGGGCAGATATCATATTTGGCTGTGGAATCATGTACAGGGTTATGCTCAAGGATGTCCAGAAAGAAATAGGAAGGCATCATCTCTGTTTAATGCTCTAAGTGATACAAATGGAAACCACATTTCTATTCCTTAGAATACTCAAACTTCTCAGGCAACAATTAGAATGAGGACAATCTTCCTAACCAAATTCTCCAACTATAAAAGGGTAATAATGTATTTTGTAAATTATCCTCTGCAGGAAATAACTGGTCTCTAGTTATCAGTGCATGAACTGTGAGTCTGTGTTCTTAGCTCTAAGTGAACTTTTTGTTCACTAGACTGCTATGTATTTCTGCTCCTTTGGTGGCTCATCAGTCACTTTTTAATCTAATATGGCTTTCTACTTAAATTTTAAAAACAAGCACAAACTGAACATGTATACATATACCTAAGTTGCTTGCCCATGTAGAGCTAAGTTGGAAGTTCTAATAAAGAATGAACCATAACTGAAAAAGAGCCTCTTCTCTCTGGGAAAGTCATCATCTTTTATGGAGTCTGCAGCCTGAGGAAAGATGCAAATGGCATGGTAGGAGAAAGGGGATCCTAAGCCAGGCAGTCATCCAGCCAATAGCCAATTGTCCCTAACAATTACTGTGACGACGGATGTCACAGCCAATCTGCTCCACATCCATTTGTCTTAATAGCTACACCTGCCAAGCTGTTCCTGGGTATACATTTATTTGTAAATTGACCATCTTCAGAGAAGCAGCTTTCTGCCACTGAGTAGATAGAGTATTGTGATATGTTGGGTCAGAAGTTAAAGCACTTTCAAAAGACGAAAAGGAAGTAATTGGGATCTATCCACTTTTATACACACTATCTGATCCAGTTCCTCACAAAGACCATGGGGGATATTTTATTACCATTTTTCAAATGAGTAAACAGGCTCGAGAAGGTAAAACAACCTACGAAGGTTACACATCCGGTAAGCAGGAAAAAAGACCAAACTCTAGAGAGCGTATCCTTTGTACCAATCTACGCTAGCATTGCCAAAATGCTTGTACAGCCAATGCATAAGTTTAAATTTTTGGAAGAAATGCTTCCCTAGGAAGCAAGATAATAATTCAGTCTGGTTTTAACCTTTAAAGGAGATTTCAAAACATAACTTTGGGACCGATGGCAATATATAATGATTCTCACTGTGAGAAAAATTTCCCTTCATGCATAAAAGGTTTTTTTCTTTTAAATAAACAAAAATTGTGTTTCAGCAGTAAATTTCCATATTGACAAATAACTATTTATATTTTGATTTCTGTGTATCTCATTCGAAAAGGAAGCCACTGCTTAAATTAATATTTAATGCAAAAGAGGCTACACTTTGAATGATACTGAAAATGACAAACCATGTGTATAATTTATAAGCACCTAAATCATAAAAGGTGATAAAAAAATCAAATGTTAATCTTTGATTTTCAGCTATTTCTGGGAAAATTAGGGAAAAGAAGTTGCTTCATTATGAATCACTGGAAAAAATAATTTCCTTTTTTTCTATATCATCTTAAATTATCTGACTCTTTTCAAGTTTGAATAAAATGATTTTAAAAATTATATAATCTATTTTAGAAGAACTTTACATTTATTTGACCGTGATATTTTCTAATAAAACCTTAATTTCTTCTCAATTGCAACCTGAAGCTAGGTCATCAAACAGGACATATAATGCAAAATTCACTAAAATGATAGTTTAGCTTATTTATGAATGAAAATATTTACAAGTGGTAGGCATCTAGGAAAGTATCAAAAACATTAAAGTCCATTTTCCCCCTTAAATATGTGTATTTACATGTGATATAAAAAAATAGTCTTAGAAGCAACAGAGATTACTGAAAAGAGTTCTGTGCCAGAAGTAAAGAGACATGAGTTTTGGTCCTGGTTTGTCACTGGGGTGAGGTTGGTCCTGTCATTCAACTTCCCTAACGCTCGGTTTCCTTGCACGTAACGATGTCACATCTGTCCCACTTTAGCAATTGCCATGTGGCTAAAGTCCTTTATTCATCCTACACTTGGTACTGTTTATTGTGCTTTCTTATGAGATATGAAGACAAATATGATTCCGTCCCTACCCTGAAGGAACACACAGTAGGAAGATGTGATAGAAACAGGGATGTTGGGTTGCACTGCAGAATGCTTCTGCCTGGAGAACATCTGCAAGAACAGTTATAAGTTAGTGAAGCGAATGGAAGAAGAAAAGGTTAGAGCACTGCAGACAGAGCGCAGCGCTGTGCAGCAATCATCAGTGACGAGGCTGCAAGGTGCCCTGCCGCCCTTCCGCCGGCTGAAACAGAAGAGGAAAGAGATGGGTGGGTAGACAGAACCCAAGTTATTGAGTATCTATGCTATGCTATGGATCTACATTTTTCTTTTTTTAAATATATCTTTATTGATTTCAGAGAAAGGAAAGGAGAGGGAGAGAGAGAAACATCAATGATGAGAGGGTCATTGATCGAGCCCACAACCCGGGCATGTGCCCTGACCAGGAATCGAACCCTGATCGCCTGGATCCTAGGTCAACGCTCAACCGCTGAGCCACGCCTGGCCAGAATGGATCTACATTTTAACCCACGCAATGAGTGGAGGCAACGCGGCATTATGAAGAGAGGAGTTCTGGTTTGAGAAAACTCACTCTGAAGGCAACATGGGCAATGGATCAGAGGCTGGGAAATGAATTCAGAGTCAAGGATATTAGTTCCGGTGAGAAATACAAAGGACGACATATAGAGAAGGAAGGACAGTTCTGCAGGATGAGGGGGAGGTAGAACGGACAAAGTTTAATGTCTAACGAGGAGTGGACAGCAGACAGGGAATTGGTGTGAATCAGAGTCTTCTGACTCGGCTGGGTAAACAGTGTATGATTCCACAAGATAAGAAATCAAGGAGATAGAGGAGGGTTTGGGGTAGACAGGTCCAATTTTGGAAATGCTGAGCTCATTGTGTCTGTGGGACATCCAAGTGGTGATGTGCAGAAGGCGGCTGGATTTATGAAATGCATTTGACAATGCAGTGAACTATTCAAATGTGAATAATATTACTTGAATCCAATTCTATATTTTCAGTATGTGTAGTAATAACTCATGAAAGGCCACTAGGGAAATTAGTATAAATGGTTTATTCAACAGTACTCTAAGGGCTTCAAAATCTAACGATCTCTCTCTATTTTTTACTGTGTGGGCACACCTTGTTCTATTGAGCTTCACAGGCTTTGCATGTTTTACAAATTGAAGGCAAGATCCTCCCCCAGTAAAAGGATTATGACTTTATTGCGATGCTTATTTTATTGCGGTGGTCTGGATCAGAAAGAGCAATATCTCCGAGGTATGCCTGTATGCGCTTGTTTAACTACCTGCGGCATCATTACTATCGTGAGCTATCGCTGATGGTTTATAGTTCATGTGGCTGGCAGGTGGACTGGATTAAAAAAAGCTACCATGCAGATGGAGACTGAACAGTACTCTGGAACCCTTCTTCCATCCAACCTCACTGCCTATCACATTTTCCTATATGCATTCTTGCTTCCAGCTGCCATGGGGTCATCAAGCTTTAGCTTAAATCAAATGTCCTCTGGCTCCAGGTCCCATGATGAAAAATTTATAGAGTCCTGGACACATTACAAGTTTTACAGCTTTACAGCTGAAATCCTTCAGGTCCTTCTGACCTACTGAAGGGAAAAATATGTTTTATTTTATTGTGATTCCCAAATGTTCTTCTAGTGTGTACATTTTTTTACAGAATGTGTATGTTGCTTCCAGCAATGTGTTTTATATTACCTGGAAGAGTAGGGAAGCTCTGATAGAAGGAAACAACTTAGTCTTGTTGCCAGTACAAGAGAAAATAGAACTTGCAATTGGAAGGAAGCATGACCAGGCCAATGGATCATTAGTTTGTCTTTCCCTTTGACCGAGGACACCTTATATGAGTCAATGACTGTATCCTAACTTGTTTTTAAAACAGTTTGTATCCCCCAACTAATGATATGTTGGCTTTATGAGTGGGGTCTTTTTATTCAATTAAACACACACACAAGATTTTCCTAGGACCTTAAAAAAATTATATGTTCTTATAAAGTCCAGGATGTAGCTCAACACCCTTAAATTAAACATCTCTTGGAAAATAAACTTTCCAAATCTATGTCAAAGTTAAAATCTCTCTCTTCGGGGGATTATAAATACCATGAGTTTCGAGGTGGCTTGAAAACAAAGTACCTAAATGAGCTTACCTTGACAATGAAATCTGCAGTGAGTGGTCCAGCCATTTTCAGGATCTCTTTGTCTGGATATTTCTGGAAGTCCACACTAGAATTGTCCACAAGAAAGATGCCTGTAGAGCTGAGTCTGTTTTCACCTTTAGCTCCCTGCAGGGTTTTGGTTTCCAGATCTAAATAATCAAACACATGAAGAGAAGAGAAAGATGTTCCCAGGGCGACGACAGACCACATGCAAGTACTTTCCATGAAACAGAGCCTATCTATAGAAGGGAGAAGTATTATTCTTTATATGGCTGACACAATTAAAATTATGATGTAAACAAAATATATAGGCACTTTGGATCACACAGGAGTTTATGCTGCTAATGAAACTATTTTAAAATTCATTATCCAAACATTCAAGGTGCCCTGTGAAAAAATCTTTGACTCCCTGGGTGACCTCATTTGGGCACCCCACCTTATCACAGTCCTGTTCCTCTGACTAAACCATCTCCCATGTATATCTTACTGATTTCAGTCTTTATGGCCCTCAGCCTAGAATACCTTACACTTTCCTTTTTACTCTATGAGATCCACGGTGCCTCACTGAATTCCCTGTGTGATTTTATTGCCTTGTATTTATTTATACGTTCTGGTTACTTACTGCACATGTGAGATTGTTCAAAATGAAGAAAATGTAGTGACTTAAGGGAACTAACTCTCCTTTTCAGTTCTCTTTCTTTCTGAAATCCTTTTTGGTACTTCATTTAGTATTATGTATATATATGATATTTCATAAGAGCTTAAGATGGAAAGAAGAACTTGATTCCTGGAGCATTCTGAGCTGAATTTGGCCAATGACAAACCTGTGAAGCAACTTTTGTTGCAGGAAATCAAAGTATGCTGGGGCTAATGGTAATTATGATGTGCATTTCAGAGCATGTGAAATTCTCATGTGATTGAAAGGTGATTTAGAATAATTGCCCACTGCATAAGGGGTGGTAGATAGGCTAAATCTAACAAGAACCCTTGGTTTTGGCGGGCGTTCTTTAGAAGAAAGATGGGGAGCCTGCGTGAAGCTCTAGGTCTACCCTACATTCAATCAGACTGACTCTCCTCTTATATGTTTTACAGATTGGGGTTCTGTGGTTAAGAATACTTTTAAGCTCTCTGGATGTACTAAAGTGCCTAAGGTATTTGTACTAAATTCTTCTAGATGATCAAATCAAGTTCTCCACTACAAGGAATACCAACAGGTGGAAATGTTGGTGTCCATTTAAATGCCCATGACACTCAAAGAAGTCTGTGCAGCCCTTATTTGGGAGTAGGC